TATTGTACTCAAGGGTTAGGATTAAGAGAGGGCTGTAACAAGAGTTAAAAAAGAGAGAAAAGACTACCATTGCAGTTTTTAGCCTTAGAGAGGTGGCTACAATTAAAAAAAATCCTTTTGATGTTAATAATTTAAAATTAGGGTTACTAAAAAAAATGCTGCTATTTTTGTTATTAATCTTAAATCAATGGAAAGTGTCAGAAAAATTTAAAATCATCTTAAAATTGTAGAAAATAAAATTCTCTTAAACAACTTTTTATGAAAAGTTTCACTAAGACTATCATAGCTAACATGTGTTTGAAATATTACTTGTATAAAACATGTTAATCTAGGTAATAAAAATAGGATAGAAATACAAAATGTTATAGATCAACTACAAAAGGTTATACAAGTAAACAATTTTTAAAAACAAGTATTTCATGTTGGTACTTCTGATATCAAAAAGTCACTTACTAATAGGCTTTACCTGAATTAATAAAAAATAACTAAATATTCATCTGACCAGGTTTTTAATTGACTTTTATTATAATAATACATATCATCATTGGCATTACAACACACTTGGTGGCCCATAGACAAAACTTATCCTTTTAACAATTTTTTTTAACCATATAAAAAAACTGAAATAAATCTTATCAAATATATATCTTTTGAGTAAAGTTTTTTTTTTTTTTTTTTTTTGAAAAACTTTAAAATTATTTACAATATTAAAGTAAATATATTATTTCACTTTTTATATGTCTATATTATAAATATAAAATTGAAAATAATATCTAATGAACAATTTTAAAATGAATTATATAAGCTTAAATTTTCATAGTAAATTAAATCTTTTTAAACAACTATGATGACATTTTAAACAAATAAACTTTTTAAATAATTATATTTTAAATAAAAGAGATTTTTTAATAGACTTAAACAGTCTTTTAAGAAAATATTTTTTAAGAAAACTTTATTAAATAAACTTTTTATTTTTATAAACATGTTCATGTTTATATTTTTATATTCTGATAATATAATTTTTATTATTTAGTAAATTTTATTATAAATTTATTATATAAATTTTAACCAAATTCATTGTGTTTTAAAAAACAATCAACAAATTTATTATGACATCAAACATCAATCACATTAAGAAAAACCAATTTAAACAGATACCTCAAGTAAAAACAGAGCAGCTCTACAAAAAGCTGTCTAGGCTTGCTTGCCTTGCAATTGTTGGTTTTACAAGTGCTTTTCTCAACTCACGCACTCATTCATACTTGAGAACCTGATGTTGAAGTTAAATTTGAAAAAAACTAATGTTGTTTTCGAATTTAACAGAAAAATTACTTGAAGATTGGTTGAAATATTCTGAGCACTTGAACAAAAATAATTTTTTGTTGCCTAGTGTTATTTATATTTTTAAAATGGAGTCAAAATATTACAAAGTTGAATATCATTTTGCAAATATTTTGACCACATTGAAAAAGAAGAAAAAATTTGAACAATGCAATTGCAAAAGTTATATGCTATTAAATTAATTTTTTCAAGAAAACTGCAATATATATTTTATTTGTTAAAAACTAAAACAATAATACATCCACGCATGGATAAAACCATGCATCTTAAATTTAAAATCACTTATGATAATTTAAATAATAGTTTTATGAATAGTATTTCATTCTTTTTCAATTAAAGTATTTTTTTTATTTTTATGACCAATATTTTTTTGACGTTTTTAAAAATAGTATAAATTTCTTTGATTAAAAAAAAATTCAAGATTCTGAATTCCCTTCAGACCATTGTAATTCATAATCACTTATTTCAGCCCATGTGAATATTAATTGTTTTAAATTTAATAAGCATTGTCTTTAATTTTAAACGACTAAAACCTTGCAATGAATGATGCCAAGTTGATGAGCTTGAACCTATTTGGGAATTATTAATAATTTATATTTTTGTGGTATTTATGTGCAGAAATCTAACATATATGTTAGCCTTTAACAGCCTTGAATTTATCGAAAGTTTTTTGATTTCACATCTATTAATTGTTCCTTGAGCAAGATTGTTCCACACATTGTTTGTTTGGGTAAAAAAAGTTGTGTTGGAAATACAGAAGAAAATAAAAGCATGACTTTAAATAATTATAAGTTATCATAAAGATTATGTTGATATGAAATTATGAACTTATGTTGAGGACTAAAACAAAGTAAGGGTTTTGAGAGTATGCATTAAAATAACATATTTTTGGTTTGACACAAGAATATATGTTTGTTAATTTGATTATTGTTTTAAGAGTCTGTAAAATACAGTAAATTAAGCCAATAAATGTATACAATAATTTTGTTTTTTTCAATAAAGAGTTTGATACAAATCATGAAGAATCAGTTCAAGATAAAGAAGAAGCCATATTAAAGTTAGGATTATCATATTCAAAGGAAGGAAAAATTCATGGTATGTATTAGTTAAATTTTCTATATTTATAAAAAATATGGAATGTACTTAATTTAATTATATATATATATATATATATATATATATATATATATATATATATATATATATATATATATATAATATATATATATATTCATATATATATATTCATATATATATATATATATATATATATATATATATATATATATATTCATATATATATATTCATATATATATATATATATATATATATATATATATATATATATATATATATATATATATATATATATATATATATATATATATATATATATATAATTATTGTCTGAAAAAAGCATCTTACACTTTTTTAAAAATTTATTTAGAGCTCAGCAAATTAATCAAGGAAACTAGACCATTTTTACAATGCATGTCAAAAGCCAAAGCAGCTAAAGTTGTTAGAGATTTGCTGGATTTATTTTTAGATACATGTAGTGCTGAAACTGATACAAGCGAAGCTGTATTTATTTTTAATATTTTTTTTACATTGATTAATAAAAGTAAAAAATAGAATTTTTATTTATTTTACTCAATTCATGTTTAATAAAAAAAATGTAAACATTTTTGTTTTTCATTATTTTATATTTATTATTTCTATTTTTTAATTCATTCTGTATCATAACCATAGGTCCAAATATGCAAAGAATGTATCAGCTGGGCTGAAGAGGAAAAGCGATTATTATTAAAGCAGACTTTAGAAGTAAAAGCTTTTAAATATTTAAAATCATCTTTTATTTGAAAGTTACCATGTATGGTAAAGTTGTTCAAAAAACTTTTTTTTTTAATCTACTATTACTTCCATGTGTTCTATATGATGTTATAACAATAGATTTAAAAGATTTTTGAATAAAAAATATTTTAAAAGGTTACTTAAGACCTTTAACAGGTCCTTAATTTTAATTTTAAAAAGTTTTTAAATGTTATTATTAATTTTATAAAAGTTCAAATAAATCGAAATTTCAAAAAAAAAAATTTCATTTTATAAAACATCAAAAAATTATTTTAAAAAATAGTTTTTTCATAAAATGATGATTGTTTAAAACATTTATATATAGTCTCTTTTTTAAATAATATTAAGAACTTATTCTCAGATCAAACATTTATCATTCAGTCTATATAAAGTTGATGAAAAAATAATATTTTAACAAAGAAAAGAAAATTTTCAAAATAGATATCATATGATATATAAGATATAATATGATTATGCATTTATTTTGCTATATACTTTTTTTCAATTAAAAGATTCAATGGTTTTATTTTTTCAGGTTTATCTTTTATATAATTTCTCATTTATTAAGACTTGGTATCCTTTTTCCGTTTATGGTATATTTTTTTTAATTTTATGACCTGTGGTTAAGTTATCAAAACGAAATGTTAAATGTGTGGTCAGGTTAGGTGAGATGATCACATGGGCCTCTTGTGAATCCCTGTTACTAAATAAAATTTGCTGATTTAAATATAATAGCAGATGAGAAATAAGTTTTTGAATATTTTTTAATGAAAGTTTAAATTTGTCAACAAAATGTTTTTAGGTTTTTCAGGTTGAATTTTGATTAAATTATATCGAGTCAAATTGAGTTTTGATTGAATTTTAATTCATAAGGCAATTCATAATATGACCCTTTTTTTAAACTTATCAATATTAATATGATGGTTTTATCATTTTTTATTTTTTTTACTTTTTATTAGGCTCGTCTTGTTGCATTATACATCGATTCAAAATGCTATTCGGAAGCATTATCTCAAGGTACTAGAGTTTTGTTTTTGTTTGTTAGCTCTGTTATTTTTTAGGTTCTGTATGTTAAATATGTTGTTTAATGGGTTTTCAGCAAAGACAATGGATTTACACACTGGACAATGTTAAATTCTCAAATTTGTTGAGTTCTAGATTTGTACCCAAGGTTAAGACTCAGAAGATTTGTTGAGTCTCAGGGTTGAGTCCGGAATTTTTTGCTGTAACAAATTTATATTGATCATATATGTAGGTTCACTTTTGGTAAAAGAGCTGAAGAAACTAGATGATAAAGCTCTCCTTATGGAAGTTCAACTTCTTGAAAGTCGTACATATCATGCATTAACAAATATTCCTAAAGCAAGGTTTGACTCATTTAAAAAAAAAAGAGTTTTGATCATGTTACAGACAGGTTTAATTTTTCTATTTTTATGTATCTGTATTTATTTGTTTTTAATTCTTCTTTTAAGAGCTGCACTAACATCTGCAAGAACAACAGCAAGTGGTATTTATTGTCCACCAAAATTACAAGTAAAAATTTTAAGTTAAATCAATTTTTTTATTTAGTCTGTTTTTTTTTAAACTAAATTATTTAATTAAATTTTGTTTTAGGCAGCTTTAGATTTACAATCAGGCATATTGCATGCTGATGAAAATGACTTTAAGACAGCATACTCCTACTTTTATGAAGCTTTTGAGGTACATTTTGTATACTTTTATGAAGCTTTTTAGGTACATTTGGTGCATTAGTTTTTTGCATTATATAAAACAATAAGCAATTAGCAAAAATAAAATTGTATGTTTTAGGGATATGATTCAATTGGTAATCAAAAAGCTGTTATTGGTTTGAAGTATATGCTGCTTAGCAAAATTATGTTGAACCTGTAAGTTTTATTATTACTTTTATATAGTATCATAGTATGATAATACTTTCTTCTTTATGAATTTTTTATTTGTTGACAATTCATAATGACATTAATTGATAATTATTCATAGTTAGATTGATCCAATTCATTAATCACATGACATTGATTGATTACCAGACATTTTATCTGGGGTTATCAAGTTGCCTGTTTTTTTCTTTAAAGTTAAGAGTTAACTCTATGCTTAAATGTTAACTTTAAGATTCTTTATAAGATTCTTTAAGTTTGCCTAATTTTTAAAATTTCTTATGGATAGTTTAACTATAAGTTAAGCATTAAGATTTTGGTAATAAGTGGTTTTGATATCGGAATATTGAAACAATATTAACAAGACTTACTTGCTACTAATTATTGCTACTTGATTCGCTAATTCCCAATATTAGAAATACCTCTAAAAAAAGTATCGATTACTTTTGTTGTACCAATTTTTTTTATTTTTTTTTGGTTTAGCTATAAGCAATATTAAAAACTTCAAAAAACATTTAACTTGTTATTGGTAATTTCATTTTATCAGTACTTTTAGTTTTGAGACATTTATTCCAATTTATGGAAATTTTTTAGTAATTATTTTAATTGTATTTTAATAACTTTTTAATTAATTAATGCTTTTAAATTAAATTTTAAAAGTTTTTAAATTTAATTTAATTTTAAAACCTTTTTAAAAAGTTTTTTTTTTGTCTGCTTCACAAAATTTTTGTTCAACTGAAATTTGCTGGGGTTTTAATAGAGTTTAAATGTTGATCGATTGCATATATTTGCAAACTAGTTAAATTTTAAATGTTCTGGGAAATTAAATAAAATAAGTCACAGTTTGAAGTTTTAATTATTTTAATGTTGTTATTTTTCATTGTGTTTATGTTAATTATTTTTGTTTAAACTAAGTTAAATTAAATGAAGTTAATAAACCAAGAAAATTATTTTGAAAATTAGAAATTTATATTATTTGTGTGTTATATATATATATATATATATATATATATATATATATATATATATATATATATATATATATATATATATATATATATATATATATATATATAAACATTACAATGTATTTAAGTGTATATATTTTAAGTAATACAAGTTTTTGTCAATATTCACAAAAGAATTATAATTTTATATTCTGCATTCAAGTTTTTCATTTACAGTATGGTTGTGAGGTTTATGGGATATTCAACAATCTGAAAAACTTTTAACATCAAATGTTACCTCTTTGTTAAAGATTGTTGCTACCTTAATAGCATGCTGTAAGTTTGAATTGTCTACAGAACAAATAGATTTTAAGACAGTATATACCTTTTTCAAACTACCTGGCAATAAAATGAATTACACTATCATTTTTATCCAATGTGATCACTGCCAATCTGGCGAACCAAATGTGATTATTCTGACAGGTTCTTTTTGTGGTTGAATATTTTTGTGGTTGAATGTTTTTGTGGTTAAATGTTTTTGGTAAGTTGACTCCAATGGAATTCATTCAGGTAAAACTTTGCTGTCAAAATAGGCGATAAGGGGTGGATCAGGCACAAATGTTTCTTGAATGTTTTGGCTATTGATTTTTAATTGTTTTATGTGCTTCATAAATTGAGCTTGAGAGAGATTTTGTCATCACTATGTCAATGCCAAAAATTCCAGTTTTGAGGACTGGTGCAACAAAATGCATAGTCTGTATGAATTAGCAATAACACTATATAGTTTTGGTACTAATTTTGCACCATTTGTTTAAATAGAGTTTGAATAGAATGCTTTTCTAATATAATATGCTTCTTCAAATTCTGAATCTGAAATTTGATCAACTAATTTAGTTTTAATATATTTTTTCACTTCAGAATTTTTAATTTTGTGTGATGTTTTTCTAGCAAATGTTGAAACAATTTTTTTTTTTTTTCACATATTTTAAATTTTAAATTTTTTCATTTTCTTTTTTTCTTTATGGTTATGTAGCAGTTTTATATCTTACAGAATTTTTATAAATAAACAGCTATGTGAAAGTTCCAGTCTTTTATTTAGTTATTATTATGTATTATTTTGCAAAAATTCGATATATAAATATCTGTACCCTAGAGGTCAACTATCGTAACTGCAAAATTGCTGATTTTCAGGTTTTTATCTTAACTGTCACAGGGAGACCGTCTTATTTTAGTGGGAAAATATCGTAAACGCGGGCATTACATAAAGTTAGAAACCTGGAGGTTTAAAAGAAGTGTAATAACTTCATTTGGCTCTCCTGTAAAATTTGTCAAATGTGAGTTACGATAGTTGACCTCTGAGGTACAGATATATGTATATATGTGTGTGTTTTTTTGGTAAACAAAGTAAAATAATTACTATACAGTATGCTAATGAGTTGTTGTATCAAATTTAGTAGATTAGTTGACATAAGCAATTAATTGTACTTTCACTTAATATTGTATTAAGACATGAGTTTTTTAGGAGTTATTTTTTTTATCAAATAACATCATTTAAACGCATAACCCAGGGCTATTTAACTACATTTGGTTAAGGGCCAAAAAGTTATAAAAGTTGAGTGGTGGAGGGCCAGAGGTGTAGACGATCAACCCCCATGATTAGGGGTCTGGGAGAGCAGTGATATCTACTCTTGCAAGGTCTGTGACAGAGCCCTTATCTATTCTATGTATTTTCAGCATTTAATATCAATTGGAGCTCATTTCAAAACACTATAAAAATATTTAAACAACATAACAAGCAAATGAAACAAATAGTATGTTGTTTAAATTAATTAAACTAAAATTCTACTTGTTGTTGCATAATAATAAGAAGTTTATATATATGTTTGTAAGTATTATATTTAAAAAATAAACACTGGGTGTCAACAAGTTCCAACAGAAGAGAACTTTCATCAACTAAGTAGCATTTTAGCATTTGCATGAAAAATCACTCACATGAATAATTTTAAAAGGATCTTGAACAAACAACATCACATTATTAGGAGTACTGAAATCTTCAAATCGAGTTTTGAAATTTGTATGAAGCTAACTCAAGAGCTCAATCATCACATTGGTGATCGCTGAGCCAGGTGTTAAAGCAATAAGTTCTTTCTGCTGAGCCAGGTGTTAAATTTTGTTCAGTATTATTGCTGAGCCAGGTGTTGAAGCAATAAGTTCTTTCAGATTTGGAAAATGAAGAAGTTTAGCTGGCAGTAGATCTGTTGATAACAAGATAAGGCAACTTATCTCCAAAAGTACTTAATTTTTCAACCAGATCAATTATTGTCTTTTCCCTGCAGCAGCAAGTTAAATGTGTTTGAATGAGCATCTAGTTTTATGTCATTAGTTAAAGATTCAAAAACATTATCTCTCAAAATTTTAGTTCTGTGTATTGTTGATATTTCTGACATTAATCTGCTGGATTAAAGATGTTAAGTTTGTTTTATTGTCACATACTGTTTCATCTAAAACTACAAGCATGCATTCTTTCACTGTTTCTAAGTCAGTGAATGGCTTCTTCTTTTAGGTTAATATAAATGATATATGCAGTGAAGCAGCTGTGGTTTTTTCCTGTCAGATACAAGATCGCACAAGAATTGCACTGCATGCTCATAAGAGTTCACCAATAATTTAACTTTTAATTTTCTAGAAGCTGAATCTTCCTGATAAGATTTTTTGAATCTCAATGTTTTGGAGGTTTCTGGAAATCTTAAGACCTTTAAGACTTGAGGGGCCCTTATGACAGGTTTTAGGAAGGCGGGTCTTGGACCTAGTAGCCACAGAACTGATTGCACAGTAAGCACATGGGTTTTGAATTAGGTTGATTGGATAGTATAAAATTAAATAGCACTAAAAAAATTTATGAACTGTTTCTGTATAAACTTCTTTTTTAAATTGTTTTTTCATTATATTTTGATAATTTCAAAATTAATAAGTTTAACCTTTCTCTTTTTAGTTTTCATTTTTTTTAACTTTTTTTGAAATTTCAAAAATGTTTGGAAGGCCACTTGCAATGCAAAGGCCACAATGTACTGTTCAAACATAAAACTTTGCTCTTTGCATGCTTATTTTTGAAAAAAATATTGCTTAGAATCTTTTTTAGATTTTATAAATTAATATTCTGAAAATTTGTCTCGATTTATACAAATAATCAGATAGTTGACATATTATAATAAAACTAATTAGGTTGAATTTTGATCTTTTTGTACAAATTCTAGCAACTACCCAGCGGACACAAGACATAATTAAGATGTCCAAAACATGTTTTAAAGCATATTAATACATTTTTTAAACATCTAAAACACGTCTTGTACCCACTAGGTAATGCTTAAGCTAAAAAAACTTATAAGTACGCACTAAACAGTCTTCTCCGTTTGAAATTTACTGCCAGCGCACAAAAAAGCGCTGGCCGAACAGTAATTATTTGTCTGGCATGAGCAATTTAAAAAAATGTTTTTTGTACCTCTTTAATTAGAATTTGATTTAAAAAAAAAACATTTGTTTCAATTTAAAAACATGCTTGAAATTTTTGGCAAGTGCTTAAAAAAGCGCTAGTCGTAGTATTGGTTGGCGTGTGGGCGAGCGCAAAACTACAAGAGCGCGAAAGCGCTTGTCAAATGGAGAAGACTGACAACATGATTAAGAAGCAATAGAAACTTAAAACAAACATTGTTATTAACAACAGTAAAACAAAAAATTATGCAGTATGAGTTATTTTAAATAATAAATACAAATCAGAAATGTTGTAAATATGTTTAACTAATAACGTTAATTTAGATCCCATTTTAAACATTAGTTTTTTATAGACCTGAAGAAGTTCAACCAATAGTTAGTGGCAAACTTGCTTTACGTTACAGTGGACCTCACATTGATGCAATGAGATGCATTGCAACAGCAAGTAAAAATAGATCTCTTCTTGAATTTCAAGAGGTGATTTTTTTAAAGTTTTTTATTTTAATATTTTTTTATATACTTTATATTTCATTATTCTTTACTTTTTCTTCTATTATTATTTTTGTTTTTAGACTTTAGTAAAATACAAATGTGAACTTACGGATGATCCAATTATTAAAGTAAATAACGTGTTTTTTTTAAATAGTTTTATATATATATACACCATTGAAAAAAAAAAGATATTTCACATTGCTTATTGTATATAGCAACTTTTTAACTTTCAAATTTAAATAAACTTTTTTAACTTTAACATCCCAAAATCATTACTTATTTCAACTGACAAATATATATCTACATCAATAGTAATGCTATAGTACTTCTTTATTAAACCAACAAGTATATACACAAACTGATAGTAATGCTATGAATTCTTTTTTTTTTTTTAGAATTCATATTTACTTTTAAAAACACTAAATCAGTTGCTATTTTTAACTAATTGGCTATTCAATGTAATAAGTTTTTTTTTTATAGATTTAGTGAAGTTTTATTTGCTATTGTTATTACACAAATGTATAAAAATTGGAAAAATATAAATGATAGTTTATAGTAAGAAAAAAAAAAGATTATTAGAAAATTATAATTAAATAAATTTCATAAAAATAAGAAATATTTTTTAGTATAATTTTATTTTAATGTTTACCATTATTGGAAAGCATTTTTCACTTAATTTAGATTTAATTAAATCTGAATTACTAATGTTAGATCAAATCAAATAAATTATTGAACTTTTTTTTTAGTTAAATTAGCATTTAACTAAGAATTTCATAGATTTGCAATTGTATGAAAAGTAATCAAGATAAAGCAGCAACCTTTTAATTTCATTAATAATAACTGGAAGAAAAAAAAGGAAACAACGGAAAAAAATCTTAAATTATTTTTAAATGTTATTTAATTTTAAGTTATTCTACAAAAAAGTTATATTTTAAAAATTTCTCCAAAAGTAAATTTTGTAAACAGATTATTATGCAAAAGTAAACTTTTTAAGTGAAACTACAGTAAAAATGGTAATAATCAATTTAAATAAGTAAATAAATAAAAATAAGATTTCAAAACTTAATAGCAATATAAAAATTGCGGTAAAAATCTAAATAAACTGATGATTTTAAAAGAAAATTTTTTAAACATTTGAACGACTTTGCTATAGTATTAATTCTTTGCTTTTTAATTTTCTTTGTTGCTTGTTTTGTTTTTTATGTAATTTTACTGATTTAAATTATATTACCATATTTTATGTTTTGAGCAATTATAAGCTCTAGATGTAGCTGTTTGTTCAATATGTATATATTATTTGAAAAACTACAATTGTATGTTATATTTTTATGTTTTTAATTTATTCTCTTTGTCAGATATTTTTGTAATGTAGTTTTTTGTAAGTTTATGTTACCAACTTTTTAAGTAGCTAAAACATTAAAGTTCTCTGTTTACTAAAGATAAAAAAAAGCATTGTTTAATGAAAAAATGAGAAAATAATGTTTTCGTTTCTTATTAGAAATAATTATTCTCTAACAAGAAAAGAAAAATAACGTAATACAACCTCTTTTAGATAATAAATTATATAATACATTAATTATGAGTTTTTCGATTAACATTTTGCTACTATCTCCATAGTAACATTTTTTTCTAGAGACATTTTGACAATCTTTATAATAATCTCATGGAACAGAACTTATGTCGTTTGATCGAACCATTTTCAAGAGTTGAGGTATTTCTTATATGTTATGTTGTTGTTTTTTTTGATTTTTTTTAAGCTTTTATTATATTTAAAACTTTTGTCCAGTTGTAATATTGTATTTCTTTATCTTAATAAGTTTTCTTTTTTGTGTGCTTTTAGGTGTCACATATTGCTGAACTTATCAATTTGCCACTGGTATGTGCTTTATTGTTGTTATTATTATTATTATTATTATTATTATTATTATTATTATTAAAGTATGCTGTAACTGGCAAGCCAGTGAGTGTGCCATCAAAAGGCATACTGTAACAACCAAGAAATGCGCAATAGCTAGTTGTAAAATACCGGAATGCGCAGTTGACTTGGTTGAATACTTCTTAAATATTTTTTCTCTTCTAGGTAATTGTTGAAAATAAATTGTCAAAAATGATATTAGATCAAAAGTTGAATGGTACAATTCACTTATTTTTCTTCTTTGCTAATTATAATTTCAGTTTTTTCATATACACAAGTTTTTATAATAGTTATATAATATTTATAAAAATTTTATTTCATATATACTTGTTTAAAATGACGTATTTAAATTTGGAAAATTATATTGCTATGTGGCATTTGTATCATAGGTATATTAGATCAAGGTGCTGGAGTGCTCGAAATATTTGACGAAAAGATAATCGATAAAACTTATGAAAACACCTTAGAAATCATTCAACGTATGGGTGGAGTGGTTGATTCGTTATATAATAAAGCTAAGAAGCTGTCGTAATATTTTTATAAAATGTTTCAATAATCCCCAAATGAAACGATTACATTATTTAATATAATCGTTAAACATGCGCGCACATATACACAGTACCGTAAATATAAATAATTTATGGGGAAGGGGGGATCGCGTTTAAATTGGATACAGTTAAAAAAGTAAAAAATAATCAAAGTATAGAAAAAAAAATTTTTTAAGAAAAAAAAACTTCCATCGAGTAGCTAAACTCTCAAAATTTTATGTAGTTAAAGTTTTTCTTTTCCTAATAGGATTTGAATTCACTTGCATTACGCTACTTAAATGTGTTAGTGTGTGTGCCAATAGTTATTTTTTGTTTAGTTTTTTTACGGACGCATTGTCTAAAAAGTAGTTTGTTCTTGTGTTCTTCATTATGTCGTTCATCAAAGTTACAATTTCCAAATATATAGTAGCATTCTTTGATATTTAAAAACTATAGAGTTGCGACAAATAGTGGATAAGGAATCGTCAGATTAATACTGTGATGAATTTCATGTTTCTTATAACTAAAAATAATTTATTTGCTTTGAGTTGTTTCAGAGTCAATCTTATGAGTTCGTTAAATATCGATAATAGATTTTTCTATTATAATAATTCTGTTTACAATTTTTGGACGACCTCTGTTCTAAAACAATAGACAAATTTAAAATAAATACAAAGAAGTGGTAATTAGTTACTAAATACATTACAAAAAAAAATCTAGAATAAAAATTAAGCAAAAATTTATTAAATTTTATAATATATAATATTTTATAATATTATAATAGCGTCTGTATGATATTTTGCTGACCGCGAGATATATTTCAATTTAATGATCAATTATCATCAAAAACGAAAAAAAATTAAATTAAGAGGCCTTCCGTAAATTGCGTGTGCACCGGGGGGGAGGGTGTCTCAAGTTGAGTGATTTGCGTATGTGGGGTGGGGGGTCAACAAATGTATGTACGCAAAAAATTGAGGTGACAGTTCACTTACCAATTAATAAACGGTAAACGCCGCTCACGTTCATGGTCTGTCAAGGTTATAAAGGTTGAACAGCGCAAAAAAAAAAAAATTGATCACGTTTGCGTGCGTTGATGAAATTGGGGGGAGGGGATTAGACTACCAAGCATATGAAGCTAATATGGGGGGGAGGGGTAAGACCTCCAAGCATACCTACGCAAGGAGGGTAGGGCTATAAAAATGTACGAGGTGCAACAGGGGGAGGAGAATTCAAATCTCAAGATTTTTGCTTACGTAAAATATGGATGGTTCCCAATGGAAATTTATAAATTTTGCCACAACATAAAATGTTTGTGGCGAAAAAACCTAGACTGAAATTTTTTTTATCTCCTAATAATCTCGATTGTCCAGATTTCAATAAAATTTTAAACACGTTGTTTAGGCGAAATCAACATCATATTTAATAAGATGATCGTTTATTGGCATTTTTTCTTAATTATAGGCTCTTCCTTGTTAGAATTCTTAGCTTTTTGTGAAAATTGATGGATATGTTGCATTTTAACAACTTTATTTAATTAATATGCACCAAAACAGATTGGATCTATAGTGGTTTACGCAGTTTTTCATAAATCTTTAAATGATAAAATAATGCTAATTGGTTGAAAAAATAATGTTGATTGTTATTATTTAACGTATACCTTTTGTGAATAACTTTATCATGGTATTTCATTTCTTTCATGTTTGCTCCATTTTTCTCAAAATCAAAGTACTGCTGATCTGTAATTATTAAAGATGTTAACATCTAAATGTATTCCTCTCTCATTTTAGATAAGTTATGAAATATATATTATTACCAAGGCTTCTAAATATTTTTGGCTTTGCAGCATTTACTTCTATTTCACCTTCATAGTACATGCACGCATGTACATACGTGCATGTACATGCACGCATATTTTCCACTATGAGACCTAATTCCCAAAACAACGTTAGCTAGCTTCAATTCAAATGCTAAAAGTAATTTTTTAGACCAAGTAACTAATCAAGTAACTGAAGGAGTTAATTAGGAATTAATTGAAAGAAAAAAAATATTTTTTATAATTATGCTATTTTTGTCAATTTTTTTTTTTTGTTAAAATTTACTGTCAAATCTATACAATAAAAAAAATCATGTTTTATTTAAATAACCTGCAAAAAAAAGAAAGTCTGTCAAAATTTAGTAGCTCAATAGTCTTTCTGATATTTTTGTTATGACAACAATATCAGAAAAACTATTGAGCTAAATATACTTTCTGGTATATTTGCTACAATTGTCAAATTGAGCTTTTTGAACACTGGAATCCAGATATTTATTTTTGAAAGCAGGTGTCTCTTTTTCATCAATATGAAAGACATTAACAACTATCTTATAAACCCACCTCCAGAATTCTATTAACACTCGCTATAGTCTTTTAAAGATCACTAAAGTCTTTTAAAGATCAAGTCCTCTGTTACTAGTTAACATATTAAAATAATCAGATGTGTCTTTCACTATAACAACATCTCTCTCAATCAAACAACCACCTGATTCTTTTGTAGAACATTATAATTGGTCTCAAGATTTTTTTGTAGTTCTTTCAGTCTTCCAAATATATATTGTTCTCAAAACTGCTTTGTCCCACGTCCAGGAGTCCCACTTCCCAAAGGAGGAGAGAGATGTAGGGGGTGCCCCCCTCCCCTACAAACAAAACTGTCATGTAAGCATTTGAGTTGGCACATTGAGCAAGTTTTGAACTATAGTTGGCGAATTGCAAATATTGAGGACCTTTCTTTTTTTTTTAGTGATTCTAGTTGGTAAAAAAATAAATACACCCCTCCCCCCATTGAAGACCTCTTCGTGACGACCCTATCCACGTCTCTCAGTTTGGAGCAAAATAATTTGGTTACCTTATCGTTCAGATTGATTGCAACTTGTAACTCCATAATAGTTTTAGGAGATACTATGGTTCTGCGATGAGTTTTATTATCTGATTCACCAACTTGAACTGTAAGTTTGTATCCGCCAGTTGAAAAAATCATTTTATGTCCACTAAGAATATTTTCCTATTCCATTTTAAGTTTATTAATATGAACTACCATTGTTTCTGCACAGTTTAGGTCCCCTTTACCTTCCAATACATGATTAACTAGGTTTTTAACTTTTTCCTTTTTTTCGCATGGATAAAAATATCCCTTAAATTAAATTTAAACTTTCATAATTTGATTACTATTTTATCAAAAAATTTATTCTTCATTAATGAAGAATAGATATTTTGATAAAATAGTAATTTAATTTTGATAAAATAGTAATTTTTGATAAAATAGTAGTTTGATAAAATAATAATTTTTTGATAAAATGCCGCTAAAACACTTAATGCATTGTGTTTTAGCGGTATTTCTTGTACGTAATGTTAAAACAAGTTGTAAAACATCAAAACAACATTGTATGAAGAATTTAAGATTCTCTAGTTGGCAAAAAAACACATAAACTAAAGATTCTTCATTAAGTATTTTTTAAACAACTGAAATTTAAATAAACCAACAAAAGCAAAACAGTGTATTCGAATATTGGAAAAGTTTCTTCTAAATTAGGAATCTAAATTATTTTTGATTGGTTCAAGAGTTGAACTTGTTCTTGTTTAGAATTTTAAACAAAACCTTTATAAACAGAAATCTTATAAGTTATTTGATATGTTTTGAGCAATGAAGTATTTTTTTACCTGTTTAACTTAAAATAAGCATATTTCTGGAGTTTCTCTTCCTTGCGCTTGTTGGTATAAAATTTCATAATTAACATTATAATAAGATGAATCTTTAAAATTATTACTTAAATTTTATTGATATAAATAAATTAATTAATAAAAATAACTGTGAATAAAGGCAAAATACAATTTTTTCAGGGATGCTTCATTAAGAAAAGGTTTTGCCTTAAACACCCCAAATACAAAAAAAAAAAAAAAAAGTAAATAAAATGCAACAGAAAACAAAATGTAGTAGATTAAAAAATACCTGTATATATCATACATTATTATAACTGAGTATTTTCAAAAAATAGTTCTATTAGTTAGCAAAAATCATGTTAAAGTCATTTAAAGAGTTATTAAATTTTTTTTATAAAATACACTCAATCCGGTCAAAATCCGGTTTTTTAACTTACCCTAAAAATTTCCTGTAAACGCCCCTGATTTATATATATATATATATACATATATATATATATATATATATATATATATATATATATATATATATATATATATATATATATATATATATATATATATATATATATATATATATATATATATATATATATATATATATATATATATATATATATATATATATATATATATATATATATATGTAGTTAGTAGAATAGTGATGGACTCTCATTAATATATTTAATCAGATTACAAAAAAAAAGTTGTAATTTTTTTTTTCCAGCACACACCCACTCCACCCTTTTGGGTCTGAGTGCACATAAAAGGCAATTTTTCAAACACCTCCTTTTTTTTATTGTTATTTTTTTAAATATATTTCGCAGTTTATATAAAAAAAAATAATAAAATTACAATGAAACTTTTAAGTTACACAAAGAATATATATAAAACTAACAGGAGCTCAAAGAAGATAAGGATGAAAAGTTATTTTTTTTTACAAATATTTGATAGGTATTTATTTATTTATTTACACTTTTGCCGATAAAAAAAAAAATTTACAGTCGTAACTTATAAAAAAAATAATTACATGACCGGGGCTAGAAGAAGACAAATTTAGTCTCATCATTAAGCCCGAAAAAATGCGTCATTACTAGACAAAATATAGTTTGACAATAAAATATAGTTTCAATGTATCTCTGATTTATATTATAAAAGAAAATTTAAATATATCGCATATTGTGTAAAATTTATAGTTTTTCAAAGAATAAGATTTAACAATTGTTTTGTAAAATAAAAGAAACAAAATTTAATAAAATATTAAAATGACAAAAATAACATTTAAGACTTGGTTTGAAAAAATAAGAAGATATGATTTTATATAAAAACATTTTATTGGTAGAGCATTTTA